ATTAATTGCTTTCGAATTTACGATCCTAATAATTCTAACACCGTTCCATGCCTCTCCAATAATCTTCCTTGACATTCTGACAGACACAACGAGGCGTTCTTGTACGCAACGACGCGGCAAATCAGGCGTCATTGCGCATCGGTGTGCATTCCCTCGTTACCGACGTCCATCCGCGTCTCGGCCGAATGGAACGCGAGCGTCTTATTTACTCTCACGCGAATGGCACACGAGGTCGGTCGTTAAGTCCGTTAACGACGGGTCAGCCAGCCTCGTCTATTTCGCCTCGTATCGGACGTCGACCCTTCTTTACCGCCTTCTTTTTCGATTCGCCATTTTTTTCCCTGCTTTTCTTCGCTCTCTCTTTCTCTTTCTCGGTACTCTTCTCTCTCTCTCTCTCTATCTCTTTCTCTCAGCTAATTGCTGTCAATTTTCGAGAGAAGGGCTCCTCGAATGGACCAACGACCACTCGAGATAATAACCAGCTGGCTCTGCTGGTGGCTCGCGTGGGCGTTTCACGCGACGATTCTTGTGTTCCTTCGCGTCTGGACACGCCGGAGATCGTCTTATCTCCTCGTTGTCGGTTCAAGGGACACAAAGAATCCGCGTTGATCTCTGGACCTGGTCGACATTCCCTTTGCTATGATACGAAACCAGACAACGTTGATAATGAAGAGATATTCGAGACAGTGGCGTTAGATAGGATCTGTGTCGCGTACCACTGGATGAAAGAATCGAGGAAGTCGTCGAAGGAATTGTCTCTAGTTGAGACGTCGTTTTAATGGACGTGTGTATACGTAGAGTTGGAGTAGAATGATTTATGGTGGATTCTTGTAGAGTGATATAGAAAGAGTTAAGGAATAACCTTCTTCTTCCTCCTCCTCGTCTGCTTTTTGGTGACGTAAGCTTGAGATGAGAGGGTGGAGAATCTTATGTAACTCGTACATAGGAGAGAGGGTTTTCGAAGATTGAACGTTGCAGGAAGAGAGGGATCTGGTAGATAGGATACGAGGAATGCTTCTAGGAAAATTGTTTTCCTTCGAGATACGTAATGTTCATTAGAGCACTCTAACAGAGATTTGAACGTCATTCTCGTTTCTACGTGAAACGAGTAAATTTTACATGTATAATAATTAAGAAAATTTTCCTTTCACTCTCCTCAAGAATCTCCACTTCAATCTTCCCAACATTGACTCATTCGGAAATGAGCTTCTTACAAAAAAAAAAAAGGGAATCGAACTGGCGTCCAGTGCGATTTCCACCCTTTCCATTTTCTTTTTCATCGTCTTGACAGGCCTCGCATAACCTCGAAACGCCTTTCTCTGCGAGCTTGCTCGATCGAGCGACAAGTTCGACGACCTTCCTCTATCGAACGATCGAAATTACGGTTCTGTAAATACAATAAAGTGGTTTAGATGATCGCGAATTTTCATGTGTGCGCAGTGTTAATAGACGATTGAACGGCTGTCGCGTTGCATGGCCCCCGCCTGTTGCTTTTCTCGCGTGTGTTCTTTCTTTCTGTTTTACCGATCGAAAAGGCTCTCTTTTGTAGAATTTCGACGTTTCTTTTCACAGTCGTGCATCCTTGTACTGGTCTAACGATTCGTTCGACTATTATTCGAAACATCTGCCGTATTTCAAGGACAAGGGGGGGACAGATACCTGCTCCTGCGACTTTACTCGACATATGTTTGGAACAGTTCAAACGGGAACAAATGCCTGTCGCGAACTTTTCATACTCTACCGATAGAATATGGCGATTTAAATGCGTCGATTATAATTTTGCGTTCGTACATTATATAATATTCCCCCGCAATTTAGAATGCGTCGCAAATACTTGAAAATATTGATAAATAATCTTCTCGTCTGTCTTTGAAAGTATCATCGATCGCAATCTCTTAATCTCTGAAGTTATTGTCGCGGAAACTTTCCAGCAATATAATAAAGTACAGTGTGACAGACGAGATTTCCTGCCGTGACAAATTTCGATGTTAATCGACGCCGATTAACGGCCCCAAGGAGAACAGGAATCTAGAAGCAGTCTAGTTTCTATTTCTGCGAGACGCTCGTGAGGAACAAGAACGTGGACGCGCCGTTTCCAGACACGAAACTGTACAAAGGTTAATGCCAGTGTAACGAGAGCAACGAGTTACCGGGCAGACGTACTCCCAACCCTCTTCTCCCCCACCACCAACATTTCGGATCGTTTACAAGCTCAGAGTCACGCTAATCTCAAGTTCGAAATTCGAAATTTCACGTTTCGAGAATTTGAGGAAGAGACAGCTTCCCATTCGTGCCATTTCGTGGAAAAGAGACAAAGAAAGATAGCAGATAACCATAATATACACAATCTCTCTCTCTCAAGAGAGAGAGAGAGAGAGAGAGAGAGTTGTATGACGAACCCGTGAATCATTTCGGTCGATAAGGAAGCAAATATGATAATGTGAACAGATGTTGGTACTGTTGAAAATATAAATTGTTTCTTATATGTGCAGCTCGAGAGATAACGTATTACGAAAAAATTTTGTATCATCGTCATAACCGATGTCTCACGATTATATCGATGAAGCTGTACTACGTAGGTTTTATTTCCTGAATCGCCTAGAGTGCAGACATGTTGCAGTATATATGTATAATATATAGATGTCGTTTTAATTGTGATTTCACGTTTCACTTTTTCCATTGTAATACAATTGGTCGTATGTTTGTTGTACAAAGCGATAGCAGAGGCGAAACAGACTATGGCACGGTTCACTTTGTCGTGTGGGTAGAACTCGTTTTTAAACAAGATCCCGTGCCGTACATTCATGTGACCGGATTTCACTGAATATCATATCGAACATTCGTGAATAACACGCTCGGTGTACACGTGTCCGACGGTTCTGTGCGTGTTTGATCCTGCATAGACGTGTGTCGCGTAAACAGTTCCAATGGTCTCGCGATAAATTTCCTCCGGCTTTTACGAATAGAACGTTCTCCTTTGTCGTACAGTTCTATATAGTAGCTTTCAATGGACTTGGCTTCTGAGGCCAGAATGGTGTATTATCCATGAATATACACGGAGGGTAATCTTACCATAGAATAATTTCAAATTCAGGAATACTTCAATTTTATAGATGGCGCGCTCCACTAGAAAATTTTCAACGTGAATTCACCCACGAGAGTTTGAAAACGTTTACGTCA